GACACAAGCACTTGACTAGAGTCTGCAAATGGCGGCGGACATTTTTGACTTGCTTCTGCAAACAACTTATAATATCCTTGAACAATCTATGTAGGCCTAGCCAGTATTGAAGCTGCTTGTCCTGGACTGAGGTTTCTCTTAGTACAGGCGCTTTTGGCTCTTGGTTTTTAACCTGGAAAGAAATACCACGTGCAGGAACAGGAGTCACGGAAGTTGAACTCAAAAAGTTGGAAACTTGTCTCTGCAGTTTGCCGAAAACTTGAGTGAGCTCACTATCCGTGTGAAAATGGTTGCACTCTGGCATCGCACTGGTGTCAAAATTTTCCAAGGCAGTAAAAGATTCCCAGGGAAGCCTCGGACCGGAGCACAAATCCAGAGGCGGCCTGTCCTCCAGCACCTCGCAAGGTTGGAGCAGAGGCCCGTCCAGGTGTAAAGTGCCAAGCAGCCCATAGTGGGGGCCCCACGGGACATCGTGCTGAACTTCTAATTCCATCCGTCCCCACAGGCTATGGGAGAGGATTGCATAGTCCAGGACACTCCCAGAACTAATGGTGGCATCTGGAGTGGCCAAAATGTTGCCCTTGATGCGCCTAAGCCAAGTTGTTTCTAGCAACTCCTCTGGTTCGCAGTTGAAGTCCCACATCACAATGTAGGGGATGTTCAACGTTAGGATTAAAGCACCAACTTCTGTGAGCACTTGTCGGTTGGTGTATCCGGTGGGCCCTTCGCCAACCTGCAAGTAGAGCATGACCAAAAGCATCTCTGTGTTTTTGGCTTGGAAAATGCTCGCAGTCCAACGGTGGTCATGATTTCCCGGCGCGTCCAGGCGAGACAGGTGTTTCCTGAAGGCCAACGCAACTCCGCCGGTTGTTCCTCCCGTTTCGTTGCACCGTGCATTGGCAATGACCGGCTGCCAGCCAGCCGTCAGCCAATCCACTTTGAACTGGAGCCAATGTTCAGGGCCCTGATGGTGTTCGGCGACACCGCAAATGTCGACCTCTTGGCTGAGAATTCGCTGCTTTGCTTTGAGGGACCAGGAAGTGATGTTCCCAAAGAAGATTTTGAGCGGCTTATTTGCGCTCACCGTCGCTGGCGCCGGGTGAGGGTCTTGGCCAGCAGATGGTTCGGGTAACAGCGGTCTAGGACATGTCCCTACCCCATCTGAAGGTTTGGGACCCCCACCCGTCGCAACAGAGCTCTTTCCCTGCTTGAAGACACCCAAGGCTGGTGGTTCAGCCCTGCTACCCTTGCAGCCAAAGACTGTCCGAACCTTCCATGTAGCGGTCTGGGTCAGACGGCGCCGGCTGTCCGTCCACAGGCCCTTGTCGTCTTCGTCTTTTGTGGTCCGTGCCCAGTTGCAGCAAAGCAGCCATGTTGTGCAGAATTTCTTGTTTCTGGTCGGGATCCATGGTCGTGGTTGCTTGGGCCAGAAGGTCGCCCACCTTTGCCATGATCTCCTGGGGCTCTTGAGGGATCGCGGAGTCCAAAGAGCCGATCGGTGGTTCCAAGATCTGGCTGGCCAGCACCACTTGGGAGTATTTAGAAGCAGCTTCTTCCATGGCTGCCTGGGCTGCGGCCAGTTGCGCTTGGAGCTCTTGCTGCTCCTTCTGCACTTGGGCCAGCTGCTCGGCCAACCGTTTGGCCTTGAGGTCTTGGTGGAGCTTTCGCTGGCCCAGGGCCCGCAAGTGTCCTGTGGCCTGCTTGTACTGCTGAGTGATGTACTTGGGATCACTCTCGTCTTGCATTGGGGCCGACTCAGGACTGTCCACTCCAACCTGTACGAGGGCTGACTGCACTGCTTCAGGCAATTGGTCCCAGTGTTCGGCCAGAACTCCTTGGACTTCTGGCATGGGTTGTTGGGACACAAAATTGGCCATTCGTTTTGGCTGCGGCTCAGCCATGAGGGGTGCATAGTCTGTTTGGTGCCATGGATTCCAACCCCACGCCTTGTCAGACTGGCGTGGTCGTGGTTTGGATGGTCGTTTACTAGATTTAGCTGGTTCAGGCATCCACTTCCTACCACAATGGCAGTAAGGGTGACCACCCAGGCGATTCGTAAAGATCCACCTGCCACAGCCACAAACGAGGTAGCTACCATGGCTCATTCCGATCCTATCTGACCTTAGTGCTGGGCACGAGTAGCACCACGGAGCATGAAATCTAAGTGTAATGCAAGTGTGAGTATGGAAAACTTGCACGGGAGATGTCCTGATGAGTATGCAAGTGTGAGTATGGAAAACTTGCGCGGGAGATGTCCTAATGAAAAACATTTCCCCACATTATAAATTCTCTCTTAAAGGCGGAGGGTGGGACGAACAACGTCAACCGAAAATGCAACCCTCTGCGGAGATCGCGCGCGTCGAGTGCACGAGCGAAATGCAGGCGCGGAGATCGTGCGCGTCGAGCGCGCGACGTGCAGGCGAGAGTGCGATTTGTCCGGTCCGCGCGCAACCCTCTGCGGAGATCCTGCGTGTCGAGTGCGCGAAATGCAGGCGAGAGTGCGATTTGTCCGGTCCGCGGGCAACTCTCTGCGGAGATCGTGCATGTCGAGCGCGCATGCAGGCGAGAGTGCGATTTGTCCGGTCCGCCCGCAACCCGCTGCGGAGATCGTGCGTGTCGAGCGCGCGAAATGCAGGCGAGAATGCGATTTGTCCGGTCCGCGCGCAACCCTCTGCGGAGATCCTGCGCGTCGAGCGAGCGAAATGCAGGTGAGAGTGCGATTTGTCCGGCGCGCGCGCAACCCTCTGCGGAGATCGTGCGTGTCGAGTGCGCGAAATGCAGGCGAGAGTGCAATTTGTCCCCTGCGCGCGCAACCCTCTGCGGAGATCGTGCGTGTCGAGTGCGCGAAATGTAGTACGCGGAGCAATCTGTGGAGCGGGAAGCTGAGAACTGGCGACTTTGTAGTACAACTTGAGTACGCAGAGTATCGGGGGAGCTGCAAGATGAGGAAGATGAGAACTGGCGACTTTGGAGTACAACTTTAGTACGGGGAGTATCTGGGGAGCTGGAAGATGAGAACTGGCGACTTGGTAGTACAACTTTAATACGCGGAGTAGCTGGGGAGCTGGAAGATGAGAACTGGCGACTTCGTAGTAAAACTTTGGACGCGGAGGACCTGGGGAGCTGGAAGATAAGAACTGGGGACGTCGTAGTACAACTTCAGCAGGAGGGGAGCTGGAAGAGGAGAACTGGTGACTTTGTGGAACAACTGTAGTACGCGGAGTAGCAGACGGCGTGTCGCCTCAGAGGAATGAGTGGTGGTATTACCTGAGGACCTATTCAGCGTGGGTTATGTTTGCGAACAGTGGGCGGACGTAGGGAGAAAGACACCAAGAGGTGGGCGCTCCTGAGCCAGACTGTTGTGCTGCCTTGTCATCTGCGCATGGACGTCTGCAGCCCCTCACCTGTGCAGAGTCGAGACAGAGACGCAGATACACACATAGTAGACACATACACAGAGACCCACACACGGACTCGACACACTAGACTGAACACTTCACACTTAACCCAAAACTCACACAAGACCTGGAGTGACACCGAGTTGCTCAAGCCGGACGTCGTTCAGCGGAAGGACAACAAGGACGTTGCTAGACATATTTTAGGGAAATGGTTTTCGTATACAAAGGCTAGTCGCGAGCTGAGCAGAGAGAGCACGCGAAGATATAGGCAACGGCTGCTGCGTGTCACCCCAAGCTACTTGGGCAGTTTTGGCGAGTGGTCAGGTGGTCCAATGGATGGGAAGACTGGGTGAGGAACAACAGCCACAACTTCACAGATGCCTACACCATCCAGATCTGCTTCGGGTCGACGCGCTAGACCCAGACCAGGCTGGCGAAGACCTTGCTGCCCAACTAGGCAAAGACCCTGAATGGAGGTGAAAAAATAACAAGATGTTCACATGGAAACCAACTGCGTGTTTCATACCGTGACTTCTTCCAAACACCTCCTGTGTGGACGTCGTTCTGCGGAAGCACAACAAGGCGGTTACTAGACATAAACTATCTTTTCTGTGTACAAAGACTAGTCGCGAGCTGAGCAAAGAGAGTACGCTAAAACATATGCAGTGGCTGCTGTGTGTCACCTCATGCTACTTTGTCACGTTTTTCTTTGAGACAGTCAATTAGACAATGACAAGCATAGTTGTTGGTTAACTACATCCTAGAGAAGCTGTGTCCCAGAGTGCAGGAAACGTGACCTCTGATCGTATATCGATGGACGCATCTCCTCTGACAGGTCACTGCTTCGACAAACTTGTTGCGTAGCTGCCTCAACAATTTTCTATTTTCATTCCAGCTTGCTTTTTTCAGTGAGATTTCCTGGAGGCGTGCACGCTGCTTCTCAAGGAATGGACACTCTGAGGTGGATGTTACGTCTCAGCGAGGGTCGGGCTTTTTGAGACAGAAGAGCTGTGTGCTTTACTATTTCCCTTTACCAGCAGCTCAAATGCTCTCGAAGATGAGCTGAGCTGTCACCGCTTGGCCGCCGGTGGGGGGTTTGGGAGGCCTGCAAGCTACTTCCTTCACTATATCTACAGTGAAGAAATTCACCATTTGCCCTTACCAGCAGGTCAAATGCTCACGACGTGAGCTGTCACCGCTTGGCCGCCGGTGGGGGTTTGGGAGGCCTGCGCGCTACTTCGTTCACTATATCTACAGTGAAGACCTTCACCAGCAGCAGACATAGACACACACAGACAGGGACTCATACACACACAAATCACACACAGAGACCCACGCACTGCCTCAATTTACTCGGACACACACACAGACAGAGACTCATACACACACAGACATAGATACACACACACAGAGACCCACACACTGCCTCAACTCACTCGACTTAACACTTCACACTGAACACTTAACAGATAACTCACACTCTGACTTCCTACGTGATGAAAAAATGCTTTCGGGCACTCGTCGTCTAGTTATAATATATATAGGTCCATAGGTGAGTCTTTTCGGTGCGTGCATCGAGTCCAGGTGGGCAGCCCGAGTTGCAGTAGATGTCCGTAGAATCTACCATGACAGCAGATCCATCCTTCAGAGTATTGCATTGGAACGGTGAGCTTAGCTTTGTCATGTGCATTTGGATGAAGAGCAACAGGATTGTCAGCATGGCCCTTCCCCATGCATTCAACAGCAGCCAACTTTGCACTTCCTGAGTATTTCTGCCAGCCAGAGCTGTGCGACTTGGAAACATGAAGCGGCATTCTGTATTGCATCTACACAACAAGGCCAGCCAAGCCGCCCGGTATTGCGGATCACCACGACTTTCCCGGAAGGACATCCAGCGAACAACAATGTATGAGAAAGTGATCGGCGCCATCATGAAGTATGGCGCTACAGTGAACCTTGGACACGCTCTGACAATCTCCGACCTTCCCACACCAAGGCCTGTTTCAGCAACCTTCCTGCAGTCAGGCAGCCCCAGCCAAGTATACCAGTACGGGCTAGACACACTGCAATCTGGCTGAAAGAAATTGAAGTTAAAGGTAAAGTTGGCGAGAATTTCCATGATCTTGGTGAAAAGTTCCTGGTATATAGATCTGGCAGTTGCACAAGTGCGCGGTCTGTTTATGGATTGATAATAAAGCATGAAAAAACAAATTGCAAAAAAAACTCACGCGGAGTACTTAACGGGTCACATTGCGCTAGTGTATTGATGCCAGGCCGCAGGCCATTCAATGTCAATGCGCTGAATGCCGTTGAAGGACTGCATTATTCCAAGAGACATCGTAATCAAACGCATCCCTGAGGCGCTCAACTCCTGGAAAGGGAAAAACAATGAACGATAGCCTGTGGAAGACCATGTTTGAGGACAGTCAACCGACTCAACCAGAGCGGCTAAAACATTCGCGCTGCCACTCGATCAAGACCCTTGGCTATGTTTCCGCTCGATGGTCCTTGGCGTCTGAGCTGTCAATGGCTGCCTCCTCATCATCTTTTTCTGTCCGTGGTGCTCGGAAGAGACAATATATCCTGGCCGCATAGTTCAAACCAATGTGGCTGCGTTGTGACAATTCTGGATTGCAAGCAAGCAGCGGAAGTTTGCACTGGGCCAACTGATCTTGCACATCCTAAATACATGCTTCGCTCTCTCTCTCTCTCTCCCTCGAAGCATGACAGTCGACACTGAGGAGTGTCGACTGTGGCTCAAAGGTTGGAGGGATTGCAGAACAGCACAAGCAAAGTTGTTCATAAAATTTGCCCAAAAATGCAGCCAGGCAGCTTGCTCCTGAGTCAAGAAAGCTATGGCCAAAGACTGAATCCGGGCATGGCAAACTCATGACAATCAGGCGCCGTTTCTCTTAAACAGTTTGCTCCCAGCATTGCCCTCCTCAAGCTACAGTTGCACTATGCGCTATCCGCATGGAAAACATGAAGGCTTCGCTCACGCAATTGCCTGATATTTAAATTAGTTCAAACTTGTTTTCGGGGCGCAAGGATCTGAGGTTTGCACTGTGCCCAATTTCCATTTAAATGATCCCGGGTGCCTATTAAAAAGGCATCCCCATTTAAAAAACACAATGTCCGAAACCCTAAATACGGTATATATTTGCTGTACAATTACCGCCCTTTCCAACCGCTACTAAACTACCAACATGGTCGATTTTGGGTATAGTTTGTCAATTAGCTTCCCCCAAGCTCCCTCAAAATAAGTCCCAACACACCCTCAAAATCGACCATGTTGCGTCGCTGACTCTGCGCAGCCTGTCTGCCTCTCGTTTCTGCTGTCAACAGTATGGGAAGCTTTAGTTATACCAAGTTATAATCATCCTGGAGTAGATAGAATGGACGAATTTTCAACAAACAGTTCACTCTTCAAAGCCGGCCCTTCCGAACCCCATAGATAGAATATGGTTGTAGGGGTTTCTCTTCCTTTTCCTTTGTTGTCTTTTCCCTTCTCTGTTCGTTCTAGTTTCTGTTCGTTCTAAAAAAAATTACTTTACTTCGAGTGATCCCCACCATGACATTTCAATCATTTGACTTGATGCCATAGTGAGGAGCATGTTGCCATGGTCGTGAGTATTGTAATTCTCGATTTTGCTTGTGGGTCCTCGGGTTGTGTGTTGTGGTTGTGGTTATGTGCTGTGTTGTGGTTGTGGTTGTGTTTGTGATTGTGTGTTTGTGGCTGTGTGTTTGTGATGGTGTGTTTGTGGATGTGTTTGCGGTTGCGCTTGTGGCTGTACGTTTGTGGTTGTGTCTTTGTGGTCGTGTTGTTGTGGTTGCGTGTTTGTGGTTGTGCGTTTGTGGTTGTGTTTGTGGTTGTGTGTTTGTGGTTGTGTGTTTGTGGATGTGTGTGTGTGGTTGTGTTTGTGGTTGTGTGTTTGTGGTTGTGTGTTTATTGTTGTGTCTTTGTGGTTGTGTGTTTGTTGTTCTTTTTGTGGTTGTGTGTGTGGTTGTGTTTGTGGTTGTGTGCTGTGGTTGTGTTTGTGATTGTGTTTGTAGTTGTGTGTTTGTGGTTGTGGTTGTGATTGCGCTTGTGATTGTGTATTTGTGATTGTGTGTTTCTGGTTGTGTTTGTGGTTGTGTGTTTGTGGTTGTGTGTTTGTGGTTGTGTGTGTGGTTGTGTCTTTGTGGTTGTGTTGTTGTGGTTGTGTGTTTGTGGTTGTGTTTGTGGTTGTGTGTCTATTGTTGTGTGATTGTGGGTGTGCGTTTGTTGTTATGTTTGTGGTTGTTTTTGTGGTTGTGTGTTTGTGGTTGTGTCTTTGTGGTTTGTTGTGGCGGTTGTGTGTTTGTGGTTGAGTGTTTGTGGTTGTGTGTCTGTGGTTGTGTGTCGATTGTTGTGTCTTTGTGGGTGTGTGTTTGTCGTTATGTTTGTGGTTGTGTTTGTTGTTGTGTTTGCGGTTGTGGTTGTGGTTGCGTGTTTGTGGTTGTGGTTGTGGCTGTGTGCTTGTGGTTATGTGTTTGTATTTGTGTGTTTGTGGTTGTGAGCTTGTGGTTGTGTTTGTGGTTGTGTGATTGAAGCATACTATCTGCCATTCAATCTGCCATTCTATCTCGCAATCTATCTGACATACTGTCTGGCATACTATCTGGCATTTTGTCTGACAAACTATTTGGTTGAGGTCCAGCGGTGCACACTGCGATCGGATCCTTGCGGTTGAGGTCGAGGCGTGCACACTGCGATCGGATCCTTGCGGTTGAGGTCCAGGGATGCACACTGCGATCGGGTCCTTGCGGTTGAGGTCCAGGGGTGCACACTGCGAGGGGATCCTTGCGGTTGAGGTCCAGGGGTGCACACTGCGATCCGGAGCTGGCCACGCAAGATCGGCCAAGCAGATTGGCGAGGAAGGAAGCAAGGAGGAAGGAGGAAGGAGGACGAGGAGGTGGCGGAGGCGGAGGGAAGAACAGCTGTGATAAAGTCTATAACAACCCTCACCTGGCAGGTGGGGAAAAAGGAAAGGAAAGCTTAGATAATACACTATATTCTATCTGTAGGGTCAGTCTTCATACAATGAAAGTGATGTCAAAAACCCTGAGTTTTTCAAAAAGAAAAACACACCTACGAAAGTAGACTCTTTCTACTCCAGGATGATTATATAACTTGGGGCAAGTTAGGTTATAAGTCACGGTAACATACGTTATACATTGGCTTTAAGTATACTAAGTTCGTTTTCAAGTTATAACTTACATATACTTTTACTGTAATTATAACCTACTTATAAGCTCTTTTAAAAACTGCTCCTGAAGTTAGTTTGAAGTTACGGAAGTTAGCATTTTGCTATGTGTTTTCATTGTTTTTTGGGTTCCCTTGTTGACATTGATAGAATACGTGTTCTTTTTAGGTACCTGTGTTCTTGACTTATTTTGGTTCCCTTTTTGTGTTATCTACATCTTTGATGTTTTTTGTTGGCCAGATTTCTGTTGGAATTCCAGTTTTCATCGCGGCATGTTGTTTGAGCGGTGTCCTGGCTGCCAGGATGGTAGCCTGCTAGTTAAAGTCCTGGCTGCCAGGACAAAGTGAACCAGGACTTAAACACAAAGACTCTAACACTTTTTTCAGCTTCAACTTCCATTTCAACAGCGACGAGCTGGAAGACAGATGTACACAGAGGTAAACAGAGGTATGCCCTAGGCAGAGGTATACAGAGGTATGGGCAGAAGTATGGGCAGAGGTATGCGTGCAGATGCATACAAAAGTATCCAAGTGCATACAGACACATACAGATGAATACGGACACATTAGTTTATAATACATTTTCGCACATGTATGTATATGTTCTTTTTCGAAGATGTTTGTGATTAAATGTGCTTGTGTTCAACTTGATGTCGCAACATTTGTCAAACAATCATTGGCCACTGTACGTCAGCTGGCGTTTTCCAATTTCAAAATCTAAGATTTTGATAAAGCCCCATTCTGAGTTTTGTTTGGCGGTGGTCCGCGCATTTTGCCGTTGAACTACTTGTTCTTGTTAGTTTTGTTTGGCGGTGGTCCGCACATTTTTTGATTGAACTACTTTGTTGGTTAAAAAATCATTGGTTTTTCAAGCTTTTTTTACTCAAAAACAACAAAACTTCAATTATAGAGAAATTAGTGAATCAATGGTAGCAGTGATCAAAATTGACTCGAAAAATTAGCCTTTTGAAGTTACGGAACTTAAAACTTCCTTACAAATTAGATAAAAACTAATGACTACGACATTTGACTAACTTCAGTATAACCTATTTATAACTAAAGGTATAAGTTATAAGTTACAACTAAAGGTTCCCATACTGAAGCGGACTGTCTGTCTGTGTGTCTGGCTCTGGGCAGGTTGATATCCTCTTGCCGCAATTCTACAAACAAAGTACTGCACCTACCACGAAATCTGCACTTCAAGGTCCACAAAGTACTGCGATCCTTCCACTGACCCTGTTTTGGACCTCCGATTTCAGGGACATGATTATAGATATACTTTGTTTTATTGTGTTCTCATAAGCTGGTCGAAAATTTGAAAAGTCGGGCACCTCAAACAAAGATCTAGGGCTCTGCGCACACCTGAACCAAGAGAAACGGAGGGCGCTCAAGCCATACGCATGGCACCTGGTTCCTGCAAACTCATACTCCTCGTACTTTGTTGGCTTGAGTGGCGGTTGGGGTGTCCTGCCGCTTCTCTGAGCTGGATCCAGGGATGGCGCAACCAAGTCGTGAACCGCTCTATGAGCTTGTCGCTCAACTTCGTGAGCATATCGGCCAGCTGGAGCCCGTGGATCGCCCGAATCACCACCATGTCGTGCGTTTGTCCTCCGTCGTTGGGTTCTCAGAGATCAGCACGTCATATACAGACTGAAGCTGTCTGTCACACCAATGTCCTCAATGTTTTCTCCAGCTTGAAGGCCTTCTCGCGGAACATGACTTCCGACAGCAAGACATGAAGCAAAGCACGATCGATACCCATGTCACAGGCACTGGCCTCCACCAACAACATACAACCGACACACACGTGTTGTCCAATCCACCAACATGCACTCCAGCGCTGACTGCATCAGCGCACTGCGATGAAGAGCCCTAACTGTTATCGTAGGCCAAAGGCCGCACCCAGATGCCATCCGACTTCGTGGCGTGTAGGCGCTCAACTGCTTTTGTTTAAAGGTGGTGTAAGTCCGCATAGGTCAACTTGGTACCCTTGCGGCGCAACGAAACAATTAACGCTTGCCACATCCGGCCTTGTTTGACCTGCAACCCATTGAGCCGAGCAGAAGTCCTTTTTATGGTCACTGTTCACCAGCCCCTCGTCCTCCGGATAGCCGTCCGGATTGTCGGAGTCCGGATATGTAGATATATGTCCGATCCGAGTGTCTCAGTCATACCCTCGTACCCATGCGTCGAACTCGACGCACCGACGTCATAATGATGTTGTCTGGCTGGGAGGTGCTCCCTGCACGCGCTTGGGCCAGGCCACCAGGCCGCTTTCATTGTGGCCTGGAGGGCGCCCTTTTTGAAGGTGTTGGCCGCCAGGGAGTACTCCACCCAGGCGGCTTCGTGCTCTGGGAGCTTGAACTTCCGGTCGCATCTCCTCCCCGTAAGCATTGCCGTACCGTTGGTAGTCTGGGTGAGCACAATGCTTCTGCGACACTCTATGCTTGTTCAACTCCTTGCAGCGCAGTTCCTTCACCTCCTGCTCCATGTCAGCCATGAACGTTGCCGTGCCATCTGTCTCAAGCACTTAAAATGCAGGTAAAGGAGTCGTTGCTTGGAGCAAGCCGGGTCCTGAAATCGCGTTGCGCCCCGAAGCCGTGATATCTCGGAGTGTGGCGCCGTGGTCGACCACGACACAGCCTACGCAGCGAACCAAGCAACCTCAACCTCCAATACGGGGAGGAAGTTGACCAGTAGCTGCTTTCAGGAGTTCTGACTTTTGGGCCACTGCACAAGGCTCGCAGGATTCTTCTTGCGACATGCCAAAAACGGAATTGGAAGATCCATACGCTGACTCCTGACACAAGGCCCTGGGCGTCCTGGCCTGCAAAAAATGCTGGAAAGTAGCAGCGGCATATACCAGACTGTGGTTGTTGAGGAGTTTCTTGTGGGTCTGCGTCCGCTTGATGCCTGCGCATGACATCTGGCACGCGGTGCCCAAAAGCATGCAACCTGAAAGGTCACGCGACTCTGCTCTGCGACAAACACAATGCCAACTGGTCAACAATCTCACTTGGTCATGAAGGCGTAGAAGGTGTCTGAAGGGTCTGCAGGGTCGTCCGGCGGTTCAACCCCATGGGTCACAACGAAGGTCGGTGATGATGGTGCCCCTGGCACCCCTCCTGCCGCATGCCAACTTGCCCTTCCACTTCCTTTTGCCACCTCCCTTGCATGGATCGCCGGATCGCCGGACCAGTGTCCACAACGGCCCCGCGCGCAGAGCAAGCTCTGATGCGCGCTTCCGCTCTGAGCTCGCTTGATGTAACCGTGAGCACTGACGCCAACTCATTCAATGAACCACATCAACTGTTGCGCTCGTAGTGAGGTATTTTGACACAACATATCATATCATGAACAGTTATGCCCCCCCCTCTGCCCACCAACGCTGTGTTTTGAGCACTAATCGGGCACTTCAGCGATTGCGCGCGAGCTCATATCTAGCGTGGCCTTTAATAAGGCCCTATTGGGGATGCTTGCCATATGCTTGCCAGTCGTTTGAATTTCATCCTGGAACCGCAGGAATCCAAATCCTGAATTCTCTGTGCGACTTGGATCTTGTTACTTTTCCCATGGAAGGCTGTACTGAAACAGTTTTCTAGGGCAACCTTCCTCCCGAAAAATATTTGATATGCGCGGTCCGCGTCTTGAAACCTTGCCTGGCCTTGCCTATTTAATTTGAAGACTTGGGGTTCAAGGCCAACGCCAAGTCGTGAAGAGCTGCAGAACTACTGCAAAAACTTGAAGTAGTGCTTCAGCAACGATGCCGCTGCCCCATACCCTTGGCCACGACCGTGAAGAGCTTGAGAATTGCTAGAACTCATTCGTAATATGCCCAGGGGGTCACTGGCCACGATGCCCCTGAGGGGCCTCCAGCCAGAGACGCGGAGACCACAACATTTACAGTAGAAAGAAATGTGCACAGGATGCTGCCATGGGGCCCTGCTTGCACCCACTGAAAAAATTCAGAAACCCTCTTCCTAGAAATTTGTCGAGTCTTGCAAATCTCTCTCTCCACTATTGATGTAGATACTGGTTTCTGCCAGGAGGTGATTCTCTGGCGCTCCGTCCTTATTAAACCCCTATTTGGCTCCAATCATCTTGGGCCACCAAAACGATCAAGTTTTATCCATAAGATTTTCTGGTGAATCTTATTAAGGCCTTATCAAGGGTTGCCAAAAAAAGCGAAGTTGAAAAAACACCATCAATGCTGCCCCTGCTCCTGCAAAGTGATGTTGTACCTGCAACTGCCAAACCTGTACACACCCCTCATACTTTGCATATAGGCCCTCAAATCACCCGACTGGCACTGCCACTTCGGAGGTTGTGACGGTGTTCCGCCGCGCCACTTCAAGCCGGGCGCGGGTCCCTTTCAGGAGTTCCAGCTTTTGTCAGACGCTGAATCGCCTTGTCGCTCGAGGTGCATCCATCCACATCTCATTGCGCTCCATCAGCTCTCGCCTTAGGCTTCACTTTGGCTGTAGGTGAAATCGGAACGGTCTGCTTGGAGTCATTATAAACGTTCTGCACAGCGGTCTCTTTTTTGGTCGCAGTCGACTCGACCTCGAAGACGCCAGCTCAGGATCTAGGCCTTGCAGATGGCGATCATCCTCCCACAGCACAGGATCATCAAGATCAACTGCAGGCCTCCGGGGAGAGTCAGAAGGCGGGTCGACAGCAGGCGCTCCATCGGCTCTGGGAACAAACGTCCAAACTCCATCTCACCTGTCTCGCGGCGAGTTGGTGCACGGGCATTGCAAACCTCATCGGGACCGCAGTCCTCGCAAAGGTGCGAAGCTGTGCCTGCAACCGGCCAGTGGCTGAGTGACAACGAAGGCATCGGCATGGTGTCACACCTGGATCAACATCCATGGACACATGAAGGTCCTCCAATTCTGCCAGCTCTGAAGCCAGTCCAACCGGCCAGAAGTGAAGTCTCGCCAGCATCCATGGCGGCTCCGGTGCCAACTCAAGGTGATGGGTGCTACATCCACCACGAAAAGCCGGTCGAAAAGTCGCGCACCGTTGCTAACCAGTGCAAATTACAAATATAGGGCTCTGTGCGCATCTGAACCAAGAGAAACGGAGGGCACTCAAGCCATGCGCATGGCATCTGGTTCCTGAACACTCACATATATAGCTATTCATTGTGTTTATGTTTGTTCATTCTGATACATATATGTATATTTATATATACATATATCTGTCTCTATAATGTTTTTAGTTTTTGTATGAGTTGATTGAGGAGAGACCCAAAATTGAGTCCACAAACATCCGCAGCCCTAGCACCTCGGTGCAACCAACGAATTGAACTTCCAGGCGGCTGTGTCCGCCTGCACATGCTTTCCATTGATGACCTGAGTACAATGGAATGAAAGTTCCAACACAAGCTAGGAGGCATTTGTTCAGATAATTCGTACACAGCTTACACATCCAGCCCCATCGGCCCATCCTGGTTCCTAGGTACCCCATGGCACGTTCGACGCGTGGCAATGACACGCTCGTGCAATTAATTTGCTTCAGATTTTGCACTTAAGCGACCAGCAGCCGCCAGGAGTGGGAGATGCCCATGCGCGAGGCAGGTGATCCCGGGCGAACGCCAGCCACGTGCACGGTACGATCACGGTCAACCCGGAAGACAAAGCCAAGGTCGCGGTTCTTGAAGTAGTGCCAATAGCCTTAGCTTCGGGGTGGTCAGTAACAGATTGTCCTTGAAACACAGAACTCATTCAAGAAAAGACTGGAACAAGTACAACAGCTACATTGGCAGCAAGCCCCTTCCAGCTGTCCCAAACCGTACGTTCAAGTACCAAGAAGCCAGACACATCCTGCTTTCGAATGACCAAGGTAACCCTTTTGAATCGGAGCTTGTCCGCCAACTTCACCAAAGGATTTTTGCCGCCACCACCTTCAAGTGGTTAAACTGCAACTGACACTGAGCACAAATATAACTCTGCCATATGCCGCTAGCTTGCCTCCAGAGACTCCCATGGCAGCTTTCATTCTATCCACAATCCTGCCTACCAGTATCGCACTGAAAACATTGGTGTCCAAGGTTTTGCTGCATGTTTCCCACGTCATCATGCTCACAAGATATGACAGGTTACAAAACGCTTTACCGGACGCCTCCCCTGTACCCGACAAACAGGGTTACATAATTATACAATACCCAGCTCTCATGAGGTGCCGGGTTGCGGGCAACATAGAGCTTGATTTGGCCTTTGAAAATGGGATCAGACAGCATTTTCCTCAGGTAAGTCACCATGTTTGATTGGCACGCTGTGCACAGTGAACACGCAACCGGCAACGTGAATCTCAGCAGCCATGCGCCTACGATCACGGATGATTTCCGGTTGTCTCCCTTTATGGTTGAACGGCACCTTGTGGGCAGAGAATCTCGTCCTTTTCACCACGCCTTCAACACTTCACCAACTCCTTTCTCAAAATTAGCAATTTGCTACTAGTATGAGCAGCAATGGCCTCCAACCTAAGAGTGATGGCCTCCCCCTAGTAGCGTCCTTGCTCCTAGTAGCTTCAAAGACATACTAAAAGTCTTTATTGTTACTACAGGTGAAACGATTCCTAGTGAAACGATCCCCAAGGAAGCACCACTAGTAGCATGGGGTTACTAAGAAGCTTCAAAAATATACGCTCATAATTATATATATAATATATATGCTATGTTCGTTCGTTTGGTCGGCGAATTGAGTTCCCTATCTGGGACCTGCTGTCGCATAGTTGCATCAAGCGGTGTGGGGAAATTATATACACCTTGGTGTAGCTGTGCCACTTGCTGTCCCTAAATTGATTCGACGGTCGTCCAGTACACCAACTGCACACTTCACCAGCACCTCATCACTCATCTCCACCCTTCACTTCACTACATTATAAACTGCCAGAATTCATGTTGCTACCAAAAAATGAGAAGTCAGGGGAACATCGCTATTTACGACGCCTTGGCCTCTTCACGCATGGCTTGAATCGACAAAACAAACACAAAACACTAAAAAGTAAAACCAGCAATCATTGCGTGAACTTACGAAAAACATCTGCCGCCAAATGTTTAACTCTCCGCAGAAAACATTTGGGTTAGGTGCCATATTTCACGACAGTAGTCTTGCAAACAGAAGCTGAGTACAAGTCCCAAAAAAGGCAGGGTGGCTACAAATAAAGGGCAAGGTGAGGAGTTGGTACTGATTCATGAGTTTTGAACGGTTTTCGTTGCAATTGTTGTCAATGAGGCTAATAATTGCGCATGCTACTACCAATCAACGTACTAGCAATAATGCTATGCTACAAGGAGGCAAGCGATACAAAACAAATTTTGCAGAGTTTAAGTTGAGCATCAGGTAGAGCAAAGATAGGAAGAAGGCACCAAACGTTCCCATCATTCCCACAGCAGCCATGATCAAAGTGCCAATCTGCTGCTCCTCCCCGCACTGAACGCAGTCGTCCGAATTGGGATCCTCAAAGCAGGTCTGAAAACCTCATAGCTCAGATCTGATCTCTGCATATCTCTGCCCTCCTATCTGGTCCTGTCTGCCTTGTTCCTGGCAAGCGTCGCCAAAGTAACCAAAGACACACTGCCCACAGTTGAGACCTTCATAGCCCGCGCTGCACTGATTTGCCTTTCGGTCAATCAGTGGCAGGCTGAAATTGAACATAATTAAATATGTGTTTTTTGTTTTATCTATTATTCCCTGGTACAATCGTAGCAAAAAGTCTAAGGTCTAAGGCTGTGCAAAGTGGTTGTTTTGTCTTCCATCCAGCCCATGATCAGCCCAGTCACACTCAGGCAGGCATAAAGAGGCACGCAAGTATCGATGACTGGCTGGTACTCGGTCTGGTCTGCATTGATTGGGGTCGCAACTTGGGAATGCTTGGATATGTAAAAATAAGGCTTTGCAAGTGGTAGCATCGTACCACCGGGACAGTATGACATACAAAGACGGAAGGTGTAGGATCCAGCTGGAACTCGAACACAAGAATGCGCATCCGGTTCATCGCAAAGCTCGCCCAAGTTCTCAAGACTGCACGGCGCGTCATCCAAGGTTCGGTCCCTTGTTGCGGGCACGGTTCAGCCCCACCATTTATGGTCCAACGCATTGACAGTATGCTGGCTACATGATGCTACATTGTTACATGCATCGAACCTACAACCTCACAACAGTTCCCAGGGTAGCTGTAGTGGACTAAGGGCACAGCACACGCCGGAACAGGAGAAAGCAAACGACATTGGAGGATGAGGTCTGATAAGTTTCGAGACGAGGCAAAGTAAACAGGAGCTATGCTGAGCATGAGGCGATGTCGCCTGAGATTAGGCAACCGACACTACTTGAGAAAAGGGGGTGGGCGAAAGGTTGGGAAGCAACCGAAGGTCAGCGGCAGCAGAAGCAGCAGCAGCAGCCCACCAAGCAGCACCAGCAGCAGCAGCAGCAGCAAGAAAACCCGCAGCAGACCAGCAGCAAGCCAGCAGCAGACCAGCAGCAAACCAGCAGCAGACCAGCAGCAAACCAGCAGCAGACCAGCAGCAACCCAGCAGCAAACCAGCAACAGACCAGCAGCAGCAGCAGCAGCAGCAGCAGCAGCAGCAGCACACCAAGCAGCAGCAAACCACCAAGCAACAGCAGACCACCAAGCAGCAGCAGCAGCAGCTGCAAGCCACCAAGCAACACCAGCAGCACCACCACCAGCAGACCACCAAGCAGCAGCAGCAGCAGCAGCAGCCACCAACCAAGCAGCAACAGCAGCAGACCACCAAGCAGCAGCAGCAGCAGCAGACGACCAAGCAGCAGCAGCAGCAGCAGACCACCAGCAGCAGCAGCAGCAGACCATCCAGCAGCAGCAGCAGCAGCAGCAGACCATCCAGCAGCAGCAGGCCACCAAGCGGCAGCAGCCCAAGCAGGAGCAGCAGCAGCAGCAGCAGCAGCAGATTCATTCGAATCCAAACGATAGAATTGAGAGAAGTGATTCGTCCCAGCCAACGGGGATTTGATCCCAAGGGGGGGGGGGATGAGGGGTAAGTTCCCCAAAGCGGCAGTGAAGCACACTGGACCCTCTCTTGTGAGCGGCGGCGGGCACACTTTTCTATGGCACGGAGTGCAGTATTGGGCTTCAAAGTCTTCAGCAGACGAATTAAGGGGTAGCTGACTGAAGAGAATGTATGTACAAGTAACTACGAACAACAGGCGCTACACACGTATAGCGTAGACACGCCTAGGGGAGCCTAGGACCTTACAAAACACAAACAGACACAAATTTTCTTCGCGTCGAAGCTTACGGCTGCAAAAGCACAAAAGAGTGCATATGAATTACAAAAGTTCTGGCATCGCAGAACTTGACTGTAGATGCCATTCTGGCTCTCAAAGTTAGTCTTTGACGTCAGACAATCTAAAGTTCTTTCAAAAGGTAGAGTCTTGCGAATCTGCGCAAAACTGTTCAAGGCAAAATTATCAAGCTGAGAAATCTCCGTAATGTCGGAGGTCTTTCGAAGGCTGTAAGAAATCTTCAAAGTCTATTCACGTCAAGGCTGTAAGGAGTTTTTCAATATCTATTCCAATCTCATCTACAACTCTCTATGTTCAATTGCCGGAATGTCGACAATTTGGACGTCATTTACCATCTTCCATTTTACCCTCTGTATCCAGTGTCCCAGTAAGGCTGGTGCCATGAGGAAGAAGAGGCAGAGGATTGCCACCAATCTTGCCGTCTCCACTGGGACCGTTCTTCGTCATTTTGTTTTCGGTATTGTGCAGAAGCATCACTTCGGACTCGAACGTTGGATCTTGCAGCGAGCTGGAATGTACACTGAAACGGGTGGCGGTAGGCATTGTCGCTGCTCTTTAGACAGAATCTAAATTGTTCAAATGTTTCAGGTACTCATTGACCTTAATATACCTTAATGAGGGTTTCTTTTTGACGCGGAGGTCCATCGTATCCAATACGGCCTTTATCATCCGGAAAGTCGGATGTCCTCTTCACTAGCGTGTGCATATCTTTGCCACAATTTAGCACAATCTGCATAAGGCAGTCTACATCGGCATTCTGTCCAGCTAGTGCTGCAAGCTGCTCTGTGGCAAGCGTAGAGACCTCAAAGTTGTAGGTATTCCGTTGGTGAGGTTCACGCAGCTTATTTGCAGAAACTAGGATCTGGTCTAAAATATATAGTAAGGACGGAGCCTGTCGCCGGATCGGAATGTCGTGCCTATGAAGAGGTTCGCATCACAAACTATGACGTCCACCTGGACCGCAACTGCCGTCACCAAGACCTTGGTGAGCGCGCTCTTCCCTGTCCTGATGCAATCAGACAACATACCTGCCAGTCCGGAATGTCGGACTTTCGCGGCATCAATAGGCTCGGCCCGACAGAATCCGGTTGTCGCCTGCGCAGTGCCCATTGTATCAGGACAAACGATGACTCCCACTCCCATATCCTCCACAGGATCTTCGCCATTCTCAAGCGCTTGGCGAAGATTGGTGCGGACACCTTTGCATGGCCGTGATGCCCCCATGGGTATCCTCAGCGACCTCGCCCCAAATGATTCTAAAAGTTGCCGCGTGCGCAAGCCACTTGAGGCGATCTGAATCAAGTTGAATGCGGCGCAAAAGCTCAATCCTGGACGTAATGTCGTCCGATGAGCATACACAAGCGATCGGATGCGCGTGCCCGTCAGGCATGGCAACAAGGCACATCTTATTATACCGTTGGAAAAGATCGCTGTGTCTCTCCAGGCCTCCTGCTTCAAGGAAAATCGTGCAGTGTGCAGCATTCCGAACCAAATAGTGTGGCAGAACCCAAATTGGTCGCTTTCCTGGAGACTTCGGGGCAATTGCTGCTGTCCATTGAAATGAGGAGGACGGTTAAATGTTACCCAAATTCAACAGCAAAACAGAAACATGCTCGGTTGACCGCAGCAGTTTCGCGTCCTCCAGATTGAAGTCGCCTTGGTTAGCACGAAAGCCAGCCATATGGCTTCGGCTAAGGTCGACTATGTGACGCATCTCATCGCCGGAATATCGGCGGTTCTGGTCGTAGAAGCAGCCAGGTCGGACAATAGGCAACATATATGGGGCGACCTCACTCTGGTTATTCCAGCGCGCAACGATGGATGGCACCTCGCTCGCAGGGTAAGTTGATTGTTGCTGTAGTGATACTTACCTGAGCCTTCCAAAATGATTCGGTCCATGGCTGCGAAACCTATGGAACCACCGATATTCCGGCGATGAGATGCGTCACATATAGGCCCCCCCGAACTAGTCTTTTTGAAAACCAAAAAATCAGGTCATAAAGGAGAATCCCGCTCCTAAGCTAAAGCTTATCAAACTCAAGGTTGCCTAGCACCCTTTCGTGATTAACGTAGTGACAAATGATATTTTTTTAAAGGCTGGTTGGGGCGGGTAAGCCACAAGTAGGTAGAAACCAACAAAGTACACTGGGCGCTGCCAGGCTAGGACGCAGAAGGGCTCAGGTTTCTTCAGGGAGAACCCAACCCCGCCACTAACTCCGCCTGATTTGGTTCCTTGATTCTGTGGAAACTGATTGGCGTGGGTGAGGTTCGGTGGTGCGGCGATGACAATATAATTAGTCGAGGTGAGGTTTTATTTTGACTCTGCCAGCTCCGACCAACAAGCGTTTTAGGAGACTTGCAGCAAAACAAATTGAAACGAGAGGGAACCCTGAAGTGCCAGGAAGCGTCATTCTCTAGCTATCATCATCTTTTGATATCGCAAATAATAAGGGGCCCCATGAGTGGTTTCCAAATGTTTTAGCTGTCCATCTCTCGCTCTCGCTATCTGTCTACCATCTACATTGAAGATGATCCCTGCTTGCCCCATTGCCTTGAGCACATGCTCAGCAGTGTTGGTGTCAGGGCTTATTCCTTGAGTTGTTTGGCATGTTCAGCTGATTGGTCATGCTTGTGTTCCCGATCAATGGCCTCTTGCGCCTGCTTCAGCTTTTCCAGTACACAAGTTAAATTCGTGGTATCTAGCTGTCAATTCATGACAACTAGCTGTCATCATCTTATGTGCCAAAGCCTTTGCGACATCAAAACTTGGATGATGATAACAGTGGTGCTCAAACTTTGTTACATCCATTGCTCCGCTACCGTCCACCACTCCCACCCACCGGTTCTGGTCATAGGTTTTTGGGCCAGGGGCGCTGCTTGGCCAGCTCACACTAGACTTCTCAAGAGCTTCTGCAGTCCGTGTGAATGAAGACCTCCTGCTTAGCATACTTCCTCCCAGCTGCAAGTTTCTTCTTTGCAGCTGCTGGCACAGGACCATTGAGTGCACGTTTGGGCATGGTTGCAATTTGAGCCACAATTCAAGCATTCAACACCATGGAGCAAGCCCAAAACAACATCTTATCTTACTATTCCCGAACCCCTCAATCTACTGGGACCATAAGTTAAGATGTACACATTTTTGGGGCCCCCCTGTTCGCCCATTCCTTTCCTATAGGTTGTTTTCCAGTGAAGGATTTCAAACGCACTGTGCCTACATGTATGGTGCCAAACACGAACGACACGAAAGGTACCAAACACAAACAAAGGTACCACACACTGTTTCCGAAAGAACATATGCACGTGACAGATCACTCAAAGATTTTTCCCCTCACTCGACAGCAGTCACCTCAAGATGAGGTGATCATAGACCCATAGGTCCAGTTGGAATCCCAACTAAGGCAGACATAAGACATCTAACGCTGGACCCCTGATCGGCCCGCCATAAAAGCAGCACGTTCACTGTCACTCGATTCCTTCCAACACTTGTGTGTGTCCGAAAGCTTTGGATTCGGGGTGGTAGCCATGTAGTTTTTCACCTCGACTCATCTCGAATCAAAAGTACAGAAACAGAAAACTTATAGACCAAAAAACAAAACTCAAAACACCAAAGTGAAATCAAACACCCTCGAATATGAAAGTGGCAAAAGCCCAGTGAGCTTGTTGCATCGGGCAAAATTTCATCCTGCAGACAAGGAAAAATCAAAACCCAACCTTTGATGGCCTCCTAGTCAATTACTTAACCAGACTCCTGGTCACCATCCACATCCTCATGT